AGAAAGACACTCAACCTCATTATGGAAATGCAAATAAAAAAATAGTGAGATATCACTTCATACTCATTTGAATGACTAAGATTAAAAAGACTGATAATAACAAGTGCTTGCTAGGATGTGGAACAACTAGAACTCATTGTATACATTGCTGGAATTTAAATGGTACAACCACTTTGGAAAAATGGGTATTTTGTAAAATTGCACACACACACCACCTGACCCAACTACCCCACTGTTAAACATTTATTCAAAAAATGAATGGAAAATAAACTGTGGTATATCCATACAAGGGACTACTACTCACTCATAAAAAGAAACAAATTACTGATACATACAATAACATGAATGAATCTTAAAAGCGTTATGGAAAGTAAAATAATTCAGATATAAAACTATGTACTGTATGATTCCTCTTAATAAAAGTCTAGAAAAGGCATTTTATGATAGAAAGTAGATCTGCTGCATTTGCAGAGAGAATGGGAGGAGAAAAAGGATTAACTGCAATGGAACATGACAACTTTTTCTCTAACATGTCTATGGAAATGTTCTAGATCTTGATTGTGGTGGTGGTTATATAATTGTATACATTTCTCAAAACTCACTGAATTCTATGTTTTTTCTTTTTGAGATGGAGTCTTGCTCTGTCACCCAGGCTAGAGTGCAGTGGTGCGATCTCGGCTCACTGCAACCTCTGCCTCCTGGGCCCCAGTTCAAGCAATTCTCCTGCCTCAGCCTCCCGAGTAGCTAGGATTACAAGAATGCGCCACCATGCCCAGCTAACTTTGTTTTGTATTTTTTAGTAGAGACAGGGTTTCACCATGTTGGCCATCCTGGTCTTGAACTCCTGACCTTGAACTGTGCCTGTTCCCTGAATTCTACATTTTAAATGGACAATTTTTATTGTATACAAAGAGTATCTCAAGCTGATTTAAAAAATATGGAAGGGAAATTATCTGGTGTTGAGGCTTTCATAACCAGTGATTAGACAAGGGCTTATGAGAAACCCATCCAGAGACTCTCCAGCTTCCCTGTCTATGCATAAACATTATGTTTTAAGTACTGGGCCCCAGCAAGCATGTTAGACATCTTCAAGACATAAAGACCACGTGGAGACATCCAAGTGATACCTACTGCCAGCGCTCCTGCTTTCAGTCCAGGATCATATGGAACTCTAAAGCTTTTGGGGAGTTGAGAATTCTGCAGGTTTTCAAGTTTTTGTTTAAGTTGTGAAATAACTGTAATTGTCAAAAGTACACAAGAGTTATGTGAGTTCAAGAAATCATCAATATTATCTATTACATTTCCTGAGAACACACTTATTCATAGCATTCTATATATTTGTTCTGGTGTAGAGCAGGAGAAAACTGGGTGGGCCCTGCCTTTGAGGAACTAACCATATGAGGTGGTAAGATACATTGGGCTTACTGTGAGCAACATAACCATGTGCACATACTACAACAGGGGACAGAAATATGTGAATATATGTGGGATAACACATAGACACCAACACAATCCAAGTAGAGAAGGATGCTCTGAGGGTAATGCTAAGGAATTAATACTGTAGTTTTCTTTCCAGCATGTTAAACTTTAAACTACCATCTGATTTGAGGAACAGACATTTGAGGAAAATAATAAATGGAATTTGGTTAGGGTTCTGTAATTTCTTTTCAGAAGAGGAAGTTAGGTTCTGTAGAGAAGTAGAGAAGATGGATGTGACAGCCTCAAAATTCTAAAGGCAAAATATGTGAATTAAAAATTACTGGATAACTGACAGAATGAGGGTCAGTACAAATGTTTTCCTTTCTTAAGATACAAATGAAATATTATTATTACCATTATAATTTTTAGGAGGAAGCATTGTAAGAATCAAAGGGAGAAAGACATTTTAAATTTTCAGGAGTTTAAAATACTGGTTGAGTACATGAAGTCTCTATGTAATAAGCCACAGTGCTAGGTCTAGGTATGTAAAAATGAAAACGAGATATTCTCTAGATTCAAGGTTCATACATTTTACCAGACCAGGAAGATATGTTAAAGACTTTAATTTAATGTAGTATCAATCAAAATCTACAGAATTACAGAGAAGGAGTGATTAATTTTCCTAGGGCAGAAGCAGGTTTTCTTAGGGTAGGGATAAGATATTGGAAACAGCTTGAGAGAGAAGGTGGTGTGTGTGTGTGTGTGTGTGTGTGTGTGTGTGTGTGTGTGTGTGTTTATTACCTTTACACACACACACACACACAGACACAGATACAGAGTCATCTCTTGGTCTCTGTAAGGATTGGTTCCAGGACCTCCTGCAGATATCATAATCCATGAATGCTCAAGTCTCTGATATAAAATGGTGTAGTATTTGCATATAACCTATGCACTTCCTCCCATATACTGTAAATCATCTCTAGATACCTATAATATCTGATAAAATGTAAATGCTAAGTAAATAGTTGTTATACTGCACTGTTTAGGGAATAATGACAAGAATAAAAGTCTGTACGTGTTCAATGCAGATGCAATTTTTTTCCAAATGTTTTCTATCCGTGCTTGGTTGAATTTACAGATGTTGGGCCACAGATAGGGAAGAATGAATGTATCTCTATATATTACTCTGAGATATATAGACGAAGAAATGCCAAAAAATTAAAATAGCCTCTCAAAAATTCATCATTTTATAAGACTGAAAACTTGAAAACTATATGTGCATATTCAGAGATGTGAAGAAAAAGGTAAAGATTTGGAAATATCTAATCTTTGTGTATGCAACTGTTCTTAAAAAATACATCTTACATCTGCATAATGCTAGTTAATTTTTCAGAGTTAAGAATATGTAAATATATAGTTAAAAATTATGAACTTGTAAAAGGAGAACTTTAAATTTGTTTACTCCATGCAGACAGAAGACTCAAAAATGTGTTCTTGGTGCCTTCAGGAGGATGCAACTTGGATTCCAGGAAGAAAAAGAATTATAGGAACAATGGCATTTGGAGACGAAGGCATTTGGAAAGAGAACCAAGAAAATATAGCCACCATACCTTGGGAACTGACATCATACTTTTCAGCAGAGAGTGATTTAATATCAAGGGTGACTTTTTGTAACATCTCGATTACTTGGACTTGTTGGGTAAAGTCGTGCAGCATGGCTGTGCCACAGCCCCTCAAATAGGCTTCCAGAATCACGGCGAACCTCTGCTGATAGTGTCTGGACTGGGCTATCTCACTTCTCAAGAACCAAAACAAAAAGTGACCAATTCTTTTGTTCTGAGGGCAGGTACAAGAAAGTTGAAATTATTATGACTAATGCTTTAGGTCTACCAGTCAATTCTTGGCAACTTAAAATGTCATGCTATTATCAAAATGGAAGTACTTACTCTTAAACCACGCTTCAGCAGAAATCTGGCAAGGGCGCTATCATGGTATGGTTCAAATTTCACAGCCTAAAGGAAGAACACATTGGCATTTGTAGGACTATACTCTACATTGTTGAATCAGGGAAAAGGAAATGGAGAACTGGTGCTCTGCTTTAGTGGGACTTCATGGCTAGAAAGATGAAAATCTTAATAGTAACTTAAGTTTAATTCTGTCTTTTAGAGGACACTTAGGACCAGACTGAACCACTTGACTTAAGATCATAGAGCAACCGATGACATAACTGGGATTAGAGGCTGAAACTCTTGACTCACGGTCATGTGCTATTGATAAATTCAAAGGTGAAGAGGTGAGGGAATTTGCTCTAATTAGGTCTTACTGGTTTTGTTGGAGGGGTAGAGGGGAAAGATAGAGACACTGTAACAAATCTATAAAGTGGAAGGTAAGAGAGGATGTGAGAAAGAAAATGGACAGTGGACATATAGTATAATACACATAAGGAGAAAAATATTTGTTAGATGAAAAGATCCTAAAAGCCCTATAGCCTCTCTTTTTGGCATCTTACTGGCAAGTCACTGAACTGTCTCACAGGTTCTTAACTACAAGTAAACAGTGGGTCTAGATCAATCCACATAGAGCAATCACTACTCCCTGCCACACTGTGGTGTGTACAGAGCTTTCTGTCCAAAAGTCCCTGATTTTATGTTTTCTTAGGTATAATTTGATCTTCATTTTTAGTGTTTAGTAATTTTCATATCACTTGGCTGATGTTAGAGACTATTGACTTAGTACAGCTCTATTACTGAAGAGGAAGAACTGATAAAATGTAAAAAACACAATTAAATTTTGTGAGTGCATGGGTATTTGTTTCATTGTTCTCTGTGCTTTTCTGTAAGTTTGAAATAGTTCGTAACTTTAAAAGCAGCAACACTAACATTGTTCAGATTATTATAAAAGCATATACAAAGTTAGAGGATAGATATCATATGTAAACATGAAGAGAGACTTAATATTAAATATCTCCGAGTATGCACTTTATGAATAGAAATGGTGTATCCTTTTTTCCTAAGGAACGGAAGAAATTCCCATTCTAGTTTATATTTTAGGAACTGGAGGCTCCTTGGAAGGATTTACAATTCTTCCTCTGGTTTTCCAGTTTGGACATGATCAGTAGTGACTTCATCATGTTTCAATTATACAAGTTTTTACAAAAATGCTTTTCAAAGTCATGGTCAAATAGGTGCCACTGTAGCTGCATCAAAGGCCTTAATTCTGAGAATGTGGTCTTTTAGCCACCAGTACTCATTTTCGCAATGTTTTAAGTTTCTAACCCAGATGTGAGTCTTTCTGACCTTCTTCAGGTTTCACTTCTGTAAAGACAGTGCAGATCTCAACTAGGAGACCATTTTGATGAGGAATGAGTCATTTAGCCATAGCTGAAAATGTCTCAAGTAGTTTTACAAATGACTACTCTTCTTCAGATTTAAGACCACAAATTCAATGTTAATATTATGTATTGACCTCTTCCATTTAACACATTTCTAAAAAGAAGATTATTCATTTTCCAGCTCTTTAAAGTTCACTTGTGAACATGACAATGAAAAATAATTCATGTTAGCCTTAGGATTTGCAACAGAGCTCATTCAAGTTTGTTTCATGTTGTTTTTCTTATGGAGAGCTAGAAAACTGAAGACTATTTAATTATTCTAAAATTCTTTAGTGTTATACAAATATCTGATGTAGTGAAAAAACTACTGAATATATTTAACGGATGAAAACAAACCCAAATGTAATGTTTCAAGTATCTGACTAACAGGAAGGTGAAGATTGAGAGTTAAAGTTGAGGCTATCCAAAATGCTTATCAGAAAACTCCAGAACTTCCTATAAATACAGATAGTGATTAGACAGTTTAGTGTGTAATATTTAGCCTGGCTACTCCTAAAGATCTCAGGTCAAACATCACTTACTCAGAACCATCCCTGGGTCCCTTAATCAAAATTAAGTGTACCTTGGACCCCTGGACTGTTTTCTCATAATACGGTATAGTTTTCCCGAAAGTATTTGTCACAATTTGGTATTAAACATCTGTTTGTGTGTCTACTCATTTAATGCCAGTCTTCTCAGTACATGTTGTTGAATTAATGAATGAATAGGTCTGTGCTCTAAAATAGCACTTCTATTCAAATTCCTTTACTTCCTTTCCCTTGTCAAGCAGTACAATATAAGTTGAGAACTGCTAAAGTGAGCAGGGGAACTGTTCCCCTTTCTTTCTTTAACTTCTTAGCTAAACCTTAGAAAAATCGCTTGTCCTCTCAGGATCCCAAGGAACATCATGAGAAACGGAGTAGAAATACATACAGTCCTGTACCTACCTGCAGAGAGGAGCTTTCAAGATTCTACCCAGATATGAGATATTATTCTGTGAACTGTGACTTAGACAGAGAGTAAGACCTTTTATCTCTAGTCCCAGAATCCTGACACCAGACTGACGAAGGATATAGTGGTGGATTTGTGAAGGGTTTCGGGTAGTGAAAAGAGCAGGATTTGGAGGCAGACCTCCTGGGTTTGAATTCTGGTCTGCCTCTTTCAAAGTATGTGATCTTGGGCACACTACTTAGCCTCTTTGTACCTCAGTTTCCTCATGTAAAAAGTGCAAATGTTAATTTGACCTCCATCATAGTTATTGAAAGAGTTAAATGAGATAATACACTGAAAGCATGTCAGTCACTTGGAGCCTTGGCACATTAAGTGGAATCTATCATTAAAATAATAAATGAGAACAAAGTATTCCCACAGGGCCAATTCTCCTAAAAACGTGAAGTACTAATGTCTGCAAAACGCTTGTCGGCAAACCCTCCAAGACAGTAAAAATGTACATGCAACAGTTTACTACTTTTTGAGGTGGCTTCATCAGATCTACTTTGGCCGATGATGAAGCTCTGAACAAAGGGCATTTGATGACAACTGAATGGGGTGCCTGTGCATATGCAAATAAATTCCTTTTGAGAAGGCTTCCATTGATAACACCAACATCCCCTACCTGTACCAACTGTAGAAGGTAATGCAGAACATCATCGTCCTCCAAGCTCTCCAGTTTCTGAACTGCAATGGCTCTTACATTTTCATCTGAGAAGTTGCAGTCCAGGAGCTGCATTGTTAATCCAACATCCAAAGCACTTTGATCCCAGACTTCCCTTCTGGCCAATAATTGGTATGTTTTGGCCACAATTTCTTGCTGTCCCCATTTCACTGAACTAAAGAGCTTAGGATATGCTTTTGGGTGCTTAAGGCTTTCATATCTAAAGTGCCAGAGCAATTCTTTGTCCTCTGCTGTGAGAGGGTTAAGTGGATCAGTAGCTATGATCGCCTCCAATTGCTTGCGAAGCTGGTTGGGCATTTCTGCTCGAACCCGGTCCCCTTCCGGGTCAGGGGTGGGCTGATGCTTAGGCAGGGCTATCGGGTGGCAGTAATTGTCTAGAAGAATGGAGATGGACATTGAGTTCTCCTTGTCTGGGTTAGTTGCAGACGTGAGTTTGTCAGCACTGAAGCTTCCTTGGTCTTCTCCCTTCCCGGATATCTGCCACATGTGGAGAACGTATTCTCCACGGCGCAGAAGGAACCGGTGGTCTATCAGCAGCAGGTTCACATAATAGAGAAGCTGAACTTTGCCCTTGGACTCAGAACTGGGGGACTCTGCAGAGGCCTTGCTGGACACTGCTGGAGCTTTACCACAGTAGATCTGGAGGTTCAGTAGAGCTCCTTTGGGCAAGTCTTTGATTTTGATACTGAACTCAAGCCACACATTCCAGAGCACCTCCTCTGTGAAGGGTTTGGGGCTGGTTCTCCTTTGGCAAAGGACTTGCTGCCCATGCTGGATGTTTGCCTCTACAAAAACTGTGAGGTCGGTGTTCCGGGGCAGGACAGGGATATCAATGCCTCTGATCTTAACCCTGAACTTGCGGTCGCAGTCCCACAGGGACACGGTGAACACACTCTCGTGGTCCTTGCCGTGGATGGTCAGCTGCTCATGGTAGCCAGTGACTCCTGTGCAGTCATCCACCAGCGGCCACTCTTCCTTCCTTACCTCGTCTAGGGCCGGGTCTGGAGGCGTGTCCAGTACCAGGTGAATTTCTTCTCCGTTCTTGAGGCAGTGCCTCACCCACTGGAAGTTTTTGATGGGCGTTTCGCCCACCAGGTACTCATCCCGGCCACAGACGCGCAGCACAAAATCCTGTTCGCTTTGGCTTTCAGGAATATCCATCAGAGATTTCTTCTTGGCCATCTTGGTGAAGAAGCTCTGCAGGATGGTTCCAGGGGTGTCGTCGGGCGAGACCTTAATGGTCTGGCTGGTGGTGCTGCGGTGAATGACGATAAAGATGCAGTTGTTGGCAATCTTCTTCCACAGGTACTCCGGGAGGGGCTTGGACGTCACCCAGGGGTGCATGGCGTAGAGCCTCGGGTCGCGACTGGCCACCTCCGCCATGCGCGGCGTCACCAGGCCGCGGCGCGTGAACTCCAGCTCGTCGTCGTGCACGTTGCTGACGTCGGTGACATCATAGCCAATCAGCGCGGTGAGCTGCCGCTGGAAGGCCTGCGACTCCTCAGAGGGCGGGCGCCGCTGCACCAGGTGGATCTGGCCCGGGCTCCGGTGAGTGGCCTTCCAGTAGCGCAGGCAGTCCAGAGTCTGCACCACCTGGTACTTGTCGTAGATCTCATACCACTGCCCCTTCTTCTGGTAGAGCAGGAGGAAGTGGTCCGGCCCCAGTCGGTGGTAGAAGTCCGACGCCACGCTGGTCTCCAGCGCTCGCAGCCACACCTGGGCCTTCATCTGCTCCACGTTGCCGTGGCCCGCCACGTGCAGCAGCGCCGTTTCGGGGCTCTTGCATTTGCGCTGGCTGGTGGGCAGCACGAACTCGATGGGGATGAGCTCCATGGAGGACAGGCTGGCCGCAACACTGCGCGGCTTCATCCTCCGGCGCCTGCGGCAGTTGTCCTCTCTCAGCACCACGGGCTGTTCATAGTTCTCCAGCTCCATGCCCTACGCGACCTGGGAGCAGAGGGAGACAGGAATTTGTCACAAGAAAGGCACTTTCCCTTTATATTTTCTGGTGAGATGAGGAAAGAGGAGGTGTAGGCGGCGTACATGTGTGCAGGCACCCAGAGGGACCAAGTATTTTAAACTGGAAGCGCTACAGCCCTTCAGAGCATGGGCTTTGGAGTCGGGCCCATGAGGCCTGGTCCAGCCACTTACTTTCTGGGTGATTTGGGCTGTTTAATCTCTGATCCTGTTTCTCATCTCTCAGACAGGTTAGTAATGAATGTCCGAGAGGGAGAGTTAAATAATACTTGTTCAATATAGGTGACGGGTATATGGGGGCTTATTGGTCGTTCTACTTCTGTATACTTTGAAAATTTTAAAGAGGTGGGTAAAACACTCAGCCAGCACAGTGCATGACACATTATAATGGCTGAGAATGGAAATTGTTCTTAAACATACTGAAACATAGATGACTAAAATAGTACAGTTAAGGATCAAGTCCTAGTTTACAAGGTGCAACATGAGATGCCAAAAAACCTCACTTTGAAAACAGGCCTTTAACTTACTTCCTCTTTGTTCAGTCTCACACTTCTTGGAACCCAGACACCTCACCCAACCTTGCTTCACGTTGTCTGTTTTCAAACTGTCTGGACCCACGATCTACTCCCTAATAAATTTCCTGTCACTTGGTTTCATCTTTTTTTCTTTCTAATTAGGAAAGCAAGTCATTTCATTCGTAAAGCTAAAACATGTCGGAATTAGTAAAGTTACAGTCAAAACCATTTGCAGATACGTAAAATTTTGAATCACTGAATTTGTCAGCATTGTGGCTGTCATTGCTATATTAGGTCAGTATCTTAGAAGAGTCACCCAAGCCTGTACTCTCCCAATAGGAACATGTAGGTAATTTTAACATTGTTTAATTAATTAATTTAAATTAATTTGATCTGTCCCTGCTTAATAGTGGAAGAGCCACAGGATGGAAGGCAGGATTTCTGGATTCCAGTGACCTTCTGTTTAGACCCCCAATCATTTAACTTCTTTTTTGCTCTAATATTTTCATTTTTATGACACAAGTTCACAAATTTATTCTCATTAACTTACTCTTTCCACAGAATTCAATAAGTACCTACCCTTCACAAAGCACTTAAGTATAAATGGAACATACTGCAATATGAAATCCTTCAAGTAATAATTGAAATTTGAAATGTATTAACACTGAAAGATTAATAGGTATTTGCTTTTAATATTTAGTATCACTACATTGTAATACATTATATTCTAAACAAGAATCAATCACTGAAAGAAAAAAAGTTTCAGAAAATATCATTTACTCTCTTAAATAACTAATGTTAGACTCAAAACTACATTATTTCTTTAAGAAATAGTGGAGCATTTGATGTGTACCAAAAAGGAGAGCTTGATAAAAAGATAAGAAAGACACATTTCATTTGATCCAAACTTATGTTCAAATCTTGGCTTAACTTTAAAGCCAATATTCGCTCTCTTAAAATATGAAGTTATACTTAGTAAGTGAAACCAACTGTCCCAAAGAACTGTCTCTTGTGGCTTAAAACATTCATTTTGGTCTTTTGCTACATTATAGAATAACTAACAAGAGAACTGTAAGATACATTGATGTTGACACTAACTTGAAATAAAAAATGTCCAAATTTAGGCAGCATATAAATACACAGCAATAACTTCTGCCTCAGTGATACCGAACGATCTTATAAGATGCAGAGGAAAACAGGATAATACTCACTGGTTTCCTTCATGGCTGAGGCTATGACACTTTCCCCTTTTATGAGAAGATGTTGGAAACACAGTAAGTACAGTAATCTTGAAGTATGCACTTGTAGGAATATGAAGCCTGGCCACCGTGCCCTCCCTTTTCCTCCCAAAACAAAAACAAAAATCTGATGCACCTGCAAAACTTTTGCCGGAACCTTGTGAATATCCACAATACAGGTTGGACTAGACAATGAAACACAGACATTCGGTGGTAGTATCATCTCGAGAACCGACAACAGTTCCAGATAAAAATAATCTAGCCGAGGAGGAAGTGCCACTATTCCGAGTCAGACCCAACAAAGAGCAAAAAATAGAAGGAAGCAATACCTGATAAAGCAGCGGAGGCGATGATGCTGAAGGATCATTTGTTTAATTTTTAAAAACAAAACAAATTCAGACCTACCCAGTGTGCCTCTAAATTCTTCCGCTTTTCTGGGGCTCCCTTCATATCCAGATGCAGAGGAAGTGTTGCAGTTACCAGGAAGGAAGTTTTAACCAAGTTGATTATACGTGTGATTGCTCATTTTAAAAGTGTCAGAAATGCATTTCCTGTTTTAGCATAGAGAGAGAGGGTAAGAGTATGAGACTAAGCAATGTTTACCATGGTTTTTCTTTCTTTTTTTTTTCTCTTTGAACTAATTTTTCAAAAATTGTGATACTGAGACAAAATGACATAAATCCAAACCAGAATTACCCATTATGAGACATAAACATATGAAATATCTTTGTAGCTAGTTCTAAGTAAAAGAAAAGGTTTAAGAGCCACAGTATTAAGTGTCCTATTAAGAAGACTTTTACCAGTCAAATTAAACTCATTTCCCTCCTGGGAATTCAAAAGAATCCTTGTTCGTACACACTAACTGAGGAGTGGGGTAAGAGAAACCTAGTCATCTTGAGGACTAAGTTATCCAGCTGAAAATTTTTAAAGGCACGGTCTCGGAGCTCACTTCCTTAGCTTGGTGAGAGCTTTGTCTATTTTTTCAGAGCATTTGGGGCCTAAAATATCACTGGCTGAAGCTGAAAGCACTGCAGCATGTGCATGGTGTGTGTATATAAATGTGACATACTGCAGTAAGTAACCCTTCAAATAATGGTTGAAATGCTAAAAGTATTAAAATTGAAAGATGAATAAAAAGGTATTTTGATTTTAATACTTACTACCACCACATTGTAATACGTTATATTCCAAACAAGGATCAACTACTGAAACAAAAATTAATGATTCAGAAAATATCCTGTGTTGAGGATGGAGCCTTATTGTCAGCAATGATTGATTAATTGACTGTAGACAAAAGAGAAGGAGGTTGCTTGGTATGGTGGGGACATTGGGGAGCTGAACACTGTTACAGCATCAGACAGGGTCCATCCTGGGAGTTGGCTCCTGATGCCTATGGGAGTAGAGAATGCATAGAAAAGCCATCCTAAATCATTTTTAGAGTAGCTTTGTATCTTCCAGGTGACCTCAGTTCTTTCCAGAACCTCCAAGCATCCTGAACCCACACCCCCTCTCCTCCATCTCAGAGTTCCCTACGCAACAGTTCATCCTCCAACCGGGGTGTTCAGGGACTCCAGCTGAGCTTCAAGGGCAGCAGATAGAATGGAGGTGGCCTCACAAGTTTCTTGGAAGTATATAATTAAGAGTTCCTCTGAATTACTCTGATACTGAGATAGGATTTGACTTATCTCCTTTTACATATGTCCCTTGGGTTTTAACTTTTAAATAGCACTCTAATAGTTGACATCAGCAGGCAAATAATTTAATTCAAAGGCTGCCAACCAAATATTTAGAGGGGGCTTATCAGCTTCCCAAAGTATATTCCTATGTAGGAATACTCCCTTAGGAGGCTGGCAGCTTTAGAAGTGTCAAGGCTGGCCTTCTTGGTTGGTCCTGAGGGAAGATCAAAACACTGCAGCCACCAAGCCATGATGTGAGAGCTTGACAAGCTGTGTTTTACCCAGAGTGTGTGGGAGGGTTCCTGGGGGTGGGTGGAGTGGGAGGAGGTTTGAGGGTGGGAGGGCGGACCTCAAAGGGACCATGAGCTTGGCCAGCTCTGTTCCCCGGACCATTCAACACATCCCTTCCCTGTCCTGGCTCAGTCACTTCCAGGGGGCCAGGTCCCAATCTGGCACTGCACATGCACACGCGCACCCTACATTATTCCAGAAACACGAGAGTCAGCCTCTTGGCCCTGCCTGCTTCTGAAGGAACTATTCAGCTAAGTTTGATTAGGCAAAGGATTTTCTGTTCTATGACTAAATTTGCAAATACGTCAGGTTTATTGGTGGCTTGAGATTAAAAGTACCCTGCTCTTCCCCAAATCTTAATATAGCCACTAAAATTTGACTATCTGTAGGAAATGCTCCCAGGCAGAAGTAATGGCAAAGATTTCCTTCCTCTGTGGATACTTCCTCCATGCAGAGGCATCTTTTATGAGTAAGAATATTTTATATCCCCAGAATATTTAGAAGACCTTCAGTCCTCGTTAATGTCCTGTTTTAATAACATACTATTTTTCCCTTCTGTGAATCTGTAGACATACAAATCATTTTGACTGGGGGAAACAGAAAAATACAATCAAAGGCTCGGACCTTCAATATCACATCAGTGATCACAGCAATGACAAGATGGAACAGTTTAGAAAATAACACAGTAGGAAGTATCGGTGATCAATAGACATTAAAAATTAATTATTTGTTATGAGGAAGGCTCTTTGCAAAGGCCTTCAGGGAGATTATTTATGGTCTGCTTGGAGAGACAGAGCATGCAGAGGAAAGAATAACATATGCGATGTGTTAGCATAAGTTTAACTGTGTGATGTAACTTTCATTATGCAAGCCAACGGTTTACTGGAGGAGCTCACTTTGGGTGGGATTTGAAAATTTTTGTTTTAAGTATGCAGGGGAAGGTCCAGGATTCCAGGAAGAGGATTCACAGGGGCAAGTCCTCAAGCCAGAAGGCATCTGTGGGACAGTGAACAGATCAGTTCACTGAAATGGAGAGTTTGCAAAAGACAGCAGTGAGAGAGACGGGCAGAGACCTGGCAAGACAAATGCGTGCTTCCCACATGTATTTCACGTCTTGGCACATGTAAATAGTGGTGACATGTATAGGGCACACTGGGGTGAACTGAGGAAGCTCCTCAAAGCATGAGACAATGGGTGCATCCCCAAGGCCCTCACCACTTTGGGCATACTGGCTGGGAACTCTGTTATTGGTTATTTACTGTTGGAGTATCTATGTCACTCAGACTTGAGGGAATCTTGCATCTTGAAAAAACATGATCATTTTTTCATATTTTTTTAACTCAGCTTCAGATGGTTTATACATTGTGATAAAAATGCAAAAAGGCATTTTAATCTAATCTAACAGTTTAGTTCACCTTCATACCTTGCTTTATTGTCTGAGCACAAAGGCAAACCTTTATGAAGCTGTGTCTGATATTTTTTGGTCTGTATTTGGTAAGATTTAAGAGAAGCATCCTGGTATTGTAGAAACACAGGCTGGGTGTGGTGGCTCACACGTGTAATCCCAGCACTTTTGGAGGCCGAGGTGGGCAGATCACGACATCAGGAGATTGAGACCATCCTGGCTAACATGGTGAAACCCCGTCTCTACTAAAAATACACAAAAATTAGCCGGGTGTGGTGGCGGCCACCTTTACTCCCAGCTACTCAGGAGGCTGAAGCAGGAGAATGGTGTGAACCTGGGAGGCGGAGCTTGCAGTGAGCCAAGGTCACACCACTGTACTCCAGCCTGGGCAACAGAGCGAGACTCCGTCTCCAAAAAAAGAAAAAAGAAAAAAAAAAAAGGAAACACACACATTAATGAGACCTAGGTTTATTCCTGCACATTCTTCAGGCCTCGTATATGCCCCTTCATTTCTTTGGGCTTCCTAATCTACCAAAGGATAACAACTACCCTATGTATTTCATGGGGAGTTGTTATAAATACTCAATTTTCAATGGAACAAAAATTTGTTTCACTGTACTATGTCGGATATTATGTTAGATGACTCTAGAAGGTACAGAATTCCAGGTATCAAACACCAACACAACACACAGAGGAAGAAAAGTCCATACCATCTTGTGTGTTTCTTTTTCATAGAGAGGAAGATTTTCCCAAAGGTCTTCTGGGTTCCCTTATGTCTCTGGCAAGAACTGTGGCAAGGGCCTGTTGATACCTCAGCCAATCAGTAGGAAAGGGGATAGAATTATGTGAATGGTTTAAGCTGCTCAGGATTTGCCCCTTGAGTTCCTGGCTAGCTAGAGAGTGGTGGACACCAGAACCGAATGTCAGGGTTCTGACTGTAAGGACAAATGGCATTAGGGAGGATTGTAGGAGACTGTACCAGTCTTGATGCCATTAGGAATGTAGGCTATTATTATGCCATGTGGGTGGAGGGGAGACACTTCAGGTTCTGAGAAAAGAAGCTATGGGAAATCAGTCACAGTCAACACAACTCCATGGACCTACAGCCAGATCTAGGTCCCTATGGGACCTTCCACTTCATTCTCCATTCTTAGTATCAGAAACTGACCATTGAGCACATTTTTCTGTTTCCTTGTTTAGTTAAACTTTGCCAATACATAGTAGTAAGCGCTGCACAAATTTCTGGAAAAGATTTTTCTATAAATTGGCTTTTCAAAATCCAAAATCCTTTGCATGATACTTTATTTTTATTTTATTTTTTTATTTTTGATACAGAGTCTAGCTCTGTCTCCCAGGCTGGAGTGCTGTGGTGTGATCTCAACTCACTGCAACCTCCACTTGCCGGGTTCAAGTGATTCTCCTGCCTCAGCCTCCTGAGTAGCTGGGATTATAGGCATGCACCATCATGCGCGACTAATTTTTGTATTTTTAGTAGAGACTGGGTTTCACCATATCGGCCAGCCTGGTCTTGAACTTCTGACCTCAAGTGATCTACCTGCCACAGCCTTCAAAGTGCTGGGATTACAGGTGTGAGCCACCACACCAGGCCTACATAATACATTAGACCTTTTATGATGTATCCCTTATCAACTGTCCTTAACTCTCTCTTCCAGATTCTTCTCTTCCAAATCCCTTCCATGATTGAATTCCACCAATTTCTGCTCTCATACCTTCTGTGTTCCACCACACCTCTGTGCCTCTGTGTGCCACTCCCTGTGTCCTATCCCCTCCCGTCGTTCTCTCTCCTCTCCCTCCCCCTTCTCTCGTCCCCTCAGCCATTTGACCAGCTCCTGCTTCATTGGTATTCAGAGTGAGTAACCTCCTCTGAGAGGGCTTTCTGATCAGGAAAGCATAGGGTTAGGGAAGCTTTCTCCCAGTAGAAACCACCGCAATAACAATATCACCACCAACAAGCAGAAACCCTTTTTTAGGGAAGGGTCTCACTGTGTCGCCCAGGCTAGAGTGCAGTAGTGCAATCTCAGCTCACTGCAGCCTTGACCTCCCAGGCTCAAGTGATCCTCCCATCTC